CAGGAATGCTGTGCTACAAAGGCCATGGTCTTGGCCATCTGAACCATGGAAGACTCTTCTGTTTGTCTTGGGAACATTGTGCAGCTAGGAAAAATATAAGATATTTCCAGATAGAGACTCTATAAATTGGATTGGATTAAGTAATGAAAAAAGTTGGTTCACTTCCCTTTGTGATTAACAGTTGTCAACAAACAAACAAAAACAAAGGAAAAGGAAAATAAGCCGACTGATTAACCATAAACCTATAAAACAATCTTAAGTCTTATTTTTTTTAAATCAAAACATAGGGATTAAAAAACAAAGCCTCTTACCCCTTTAGAACGTTGCACTTCTCCACACACTCCTTGCCACGACTGAAGTTTCGGCAGGACACGCAGTCTTTGGGTTTCGGGCCCCAGCAGCCCTCTGACGAGCACAGCGGGTTACAGACGTGGCCCATGGCCTCTGCGAAGACAGGGTGAGCCACACGGGTCAGCCAAGGAACAGTGGCCAAGGGCCCTGTGGGTGAGGTGCCCAAACACGTGCTGGGCCCCCTGGAAGAAGCAGTGATGCAAGCGAAAAAGGGCTTCCGGAGGCCCACTGCAAGTCCCCTTTGCCCTGCTGGGTGCTGAGTGTACCTGGATGAAACACTGAGAACTGCCGGAACAGCACGGGAAGCGTGTGGTTCCTTGCTGGGTGCAAGGCACACAGAATCTCACCAATTCTCTCAACTGCACTATGGTGTGGGGATCATTATTACCTCCATTTCATGGATGAAGAAGCCAAAGCCCAAAGATTTACGTAAACTGATGAAGGTATCAAAGCTAGGAAGGGCTCGAGCCAGGATGTGAACTCAGGTCTGCTTCTGCCTGTGGCCAGGGTCTCACAGCACAGGCTATGCTGGTGCAGGCCCCGCTTCAAAAGCTGACTGTGGCTCAAAACTCAGAACTGGAAATGCCTGTGTGAAACAGTCATCCCATTCCGGTGAGTGTGTGTGTGTGTGTGCACACGTGCACATGTGTGTCTAGCTATAGTCACTGGGGATGGAATGAGCAGGGAGGAACACACAGCTAAAATGCCATATAACTGGGGGAAGAGAGGTGGGTCGGGATGGTGGGATGAATTGCCATGTATACACTAATATGTATAAAATAGATAACTAATAAGAACCTGCTGTATAATACATAAATAAAATTAAATTAATAAAATGCAATATCATTAATACTAAATTTAGTTCTGTAAATTACCAATAATGGATAGCCTAGACTTCAAGGCAAGTTCATCCTATGAAATGAGAATGATCTAGAAACAATTCTGATGAACTCCACAATTAAGAATATACAGATTTCTTTTAATTTGCTTCTTTCCGAATGTAAAAAGTAATTTTAAGGTTTGGGAATGGTTCTTCAATATTCTAAATCAAAATAAATGACCCGTTGGAACCATCTCCACAATCGACCAAAGTGATGACTCACTGCACTCTTTTTCACTCCTGTTGTTTATAATTTTGGTTTTCTGACTTGAGGTCCCAAAGAGTTTTTTCCAGTTTATTGTATCTGCGTAGCACAACTTTCGGTTTCCTGAAATGATCACATCTCCATCACTTATCTCCTTGAGGGAGCGTAATCCCAAGGACATTATATCCAGGCCAACAACCGCCAGAGAAAACTGACCACTAAGTTGGAGAGAAGAAAAACAATGTCGTGAAAAATTATGAAAACACAGTATCGCTAAAAACTTTGCTTTTCTGTACCACTTTAGATTTACTACAAACTGCCTTCCACGGGTTGTTAAGTCACGTTGTGGAAGGTATGTACCGCAACTTTGGAAAATTGCAAGTGCTTTTTAAAGCTAGTTCAGGGAAGAGCTAGCTCCTTGTTCATTTAGTATCTCTAATCCCAGTGGCAGACCAGGAGCTGAATAAATGTCTTAATGTCATTATTTGATTTGCTGCATTTTAATTTTGCCTGGGAATTGAGAACATGTTCTAAGTTCACAAATATCCAAATACACTTAAGAGATCATAGGTTCATTTTTCCATCCATCCATCTACCCATCCATCCATCTATCCATCCACCCATCTATCCATCCACGCATCCATTTACTGAACAAACATTTGAGGTAACATGTGACTCATTCTAATTCTAGGTTAAGTGTGTGTTTCCTATTCTCAAAAAACCTTTTGTCTAGTGATGACACAATCATATGAGTAGATCATTTTAACCCAGCAGGGGTACCATGGAGGCAAAGAGCAGGGGTCTAAACAAGTCTGCGGAGGGGGTCTCCCGGAAGTGGTGAGGCCTGATTGTCAGGACCTCGGCAGCAGGAACTATGATATTTTCTTTGCTACCTAACCCTGTGCTAGGATCCTATGGGGTGATCAGTACGTGTTCATCAAATGACCAGGTGGAAGTTATTCCGACTAAATGGAAGGAAGTCCTGAACCACCTGCAGGAGAACGTGACAGGCACTAAGAACCATGAACTACTGCTGGAGGTGGGCAGGGCCTGGGACAGGGGCCTGGGAGGGAGGAAGAGGCCCGAGCATGGACCACCTTAGACACCACGCGGAGGAGGTTTTTGTCTGCAAATGATGGGAGACGACAGGAAGATTTGCATTTTTAGGAAGCTCACTGGACACCAGGACGTGCAATGGGCCAGTTGAGACCGTACAGTAGAGAGAGTGATAATGAAGGTGTGAGATGACAGAAGTCAAAGCATAATTTGGAGACTCCTTCTCCTTGTTTCTTTTTCTCTCCCACCCTTTCCTCCCTCTGTCCTCCCACAGCCTGGCTCCTGTGTATTAGACCTGCGCCCTGCTGTTAGGAATCCCCCCAAACTGTGCCCAGGGGAGGCACGCCAGCAGAGACAAAGCTGAGGTCTTCCCTGCAGGGCAGGTTTGGCTTTGCTGAGAACCAGGGGTCACACTGCCCCAGGAGGGACGGTGCATCATTGGACTTCTCAGCAAATGTGAAAAGGAAAAAAAGTCATCTTTATCTTGTTTAAATCCCTAAAACTAAGCTGAGAGGTACATGCTAGTCACCCAAGAAAACTAACCTAAATCTCTCATCTCTGTATGAACTTTGGGCAAAAGAAGTATTCCTGAGAACTCAGGGCACAGGGGCCTTTCTGGGAAGTGATATGAGCTGCCTGTTTAGCATCAGCGATGCAAAGCCAAGACGGCTTTTTGGAAAGTGATGCTTATTTTACATGTATTGTTGTCTGACTTTCTTTAATATTGCACAATATTATGTAGCCCTCTTAGGAGTCAATTATGGGAAAGTTCTCGGAACCAGACGGTTTCCAAGGCAGGTTTGAACAAGAGAGTCCCAAACTTCCCCTCACCACAAAACTCATCATTACCCTTATTACATTAAAGGTGCTTGTGTGTGTGTGTGTGTGTGTGTGTGTGCGTGTGTGTGTGGGTGTGTGGGTGTGTTTCACTCTTGGAGCTGGAAAAGTGGAAATCCTGAAAGAAACACTCAATGTTAAAAAGCCTCTCAGGTCCCCTGAAATGACTTGCTGAAAAGGATGTGTGACCTCAGCGCTGTTCTTGCCAAAAGTGCAAAACCTCAGCTGAATCAGGAGAAAACACTGGCTATCCTACAAGATGCCTGACCAACACTTTTCAAAAGGGTCAAGGCCGTGAAAGACAAGGAAGACAAAGGAACTGTCACCGAATGCAGGGACCAAGGAGACGTGACAGCCGCGTGCAGTGTGGGCTGACGGAACACACAAGGCGTTCATGGAAAAACTGGCGAGATACCAGAAAGTCTGCAGTTCAGTTACTACTGATTTCTTTAATTGATTCTTGTGCCACGCTGATGTAGGGTGTCACCATCGGGGCAACCGGGTGAAGCATGTGTGGGAACTCTCTGTAGTGTCTCTGCAGCACTTCTGTAAGTCTTATTTCAAAAACAAAAAATAAGGGTCTACCAGGCTTTGGCTGGGGTCAACTTACTGTTGCTTCGTCCTGCCACGTATGATTTCCAGGTTCTCAAAAGCATGGAGGCCAGTCCTGTTTGCAGGCCAGGCCTGAATCAGCAAAAACCCTGTAAGGCAGAAGGAAGGTTCAGGCACACACCACTTAGAAATTTCTATTTTGTGTGAGACATTATTGTAGGATTTTCAGGAATGTCGATGAGCAGGAGAGGTGAACGTTCTTCTCGTCATCTTCCCGAGCACACACACGCATGCGTTGCTGTGCACCAGGCACGCTGCCCCTGGGCCGCTGCCCGACTCTCACCCCGCAGGCTGTGCTCCAAGGGCGAGACCCCAAGCAGGCCGCCGTGCTCAATGACAGCGGCCAGTGCCGAGCTGTAGTGCCACAAGGAGGCTGACATGGTATCCTTATTTAGTTCCAATTCTCCAAACAACCTTGCTGTTTAGTCTGATTATTTCTTTTTTAGGGATGTCGGAAGTGGAGCTCTGACGGGATGTGAAGTGCGTCTCCAGGCCCGGGAGCCTGCTGTCCGCTCGCCACTGCCCCCCTCCCTCTACCCACCACGTCCTGGGCTGGTCCTCGGATGGCTGGCCTGGGCTGGGCGGTGAGAGATCAGACATGTTCACACCACGTCATGAATGACCTAACACTTTGCTTAAAGCGCTCACCTCTCGAGTGCAGGGGAAACTGCATTTTTGAAAAATATCGAAGAACTAATTACTCATGAATGGTAGAATTTCAGAATAAATGTTTTTATGCCAAAGGAGAAGAAAATACTGCTAAAAGTTCTCTTCATAAAACACTGATTTTCTGTTTATGTTCATATGATATGTTAGCGGCACACACCTGTTATTTCCTTTACAGTTTTTAGAATGTCCAGTTCCTTTGGGTCCAGAGGTGGAGTACGTGTGAAGGAATCACTGAAACAAGTAACAGGACGATCAGTAACAACCTGCAGGTGAACAAAGCTGATTTCGTTTTTTCCTATTGTATCAGTAACTTAAAAATCTTTACTTACCCCTTAAATGCTACTGGCAGGATATGAAGGTCTCCACTGATCGAGGTGCAATTTCTGAAGTGTTTAATATTTGTAGCATTTATGGAAAGTGTATCTTTAAACTCACCAATTCCTATTCCGTTACAAACTGTAAAGATAAGGGAGGTGTTTATTCCACTCGCACTTGTTGAATTAAGAATAGCTAGTGTTCCACAGGCAGAGGGGAGCAGGCAGGAAACTGCAGCCGTGGGAACTATTGCCGCCATGCTGTCATTCATTCACTCAACAAACATTGCTAGGCCTGCTAGGGCCCAGGGACCATGGCAGGGTTGGGGCTGCAGTGGTTACAGGAGACGCCATGGCTGTCCTCAAGGAACCTGCTTTCTCCTCCTCATTTTCCCCACTTGGGCCAGAGTACAGTTGCTCCTGAGGACTCCAGCTTCCTCTCCATGACAGTGTGCCCTGCGCTGTCAGTGCTGCCCTGCGCTCACCCACGTGCCCCTACTGACCCTCAACGCCTCCCCTCGCCTCACTGGGCCTGCGGCTTGGTCTTCTAACTGAAAGAAACAATATGCATAGATTTTTTTGTTTTTAATGGAAAGAGCAAGATGCATTCATCTGAGAAAACCTTGAAAACACAGAATAAAGGGGAACAAAATGACAAGCAATTCTCCTATGTACCTTTGATATTTTAGAAAATTTCCTTCTAGCTATCCTCCATGGTTATGTCACACTAGATATGTAGCTGTTTTTTTTTCCACTTATTATGCTGTGAACATTTGTCCTGTCATTAAAACCATTCACAAACATGGTTTTTAATGGCCGTCTGATGTTACATCATAAGAAATACTGGAATAACTCTTATCGGATAAATTGCTTTTCTTCCACAGTGTTTACTTAAGCCATGTGCTTTGATCTGTGTCCTATTGTGACGTCAGTCTCAGATGCCTTTTTCCACACTCTGAGCCCATTTATTAACTTACATTCACTCCTGAATTTCCATCTCGAATGCCAGCTCCCTCCAAAGCCCATTTATCTGTTGTGGCTCTACTTCTAGAATTGACAGTGCAATCTTTGGTACCTCTCTTTCAGATCGTATCTTACTTTAAAGAATAATCATGGAAAATCTAATTGTTTTTCAGTGAGGTTTTGAAAGGGGAGGATGAAAGGATGAGGGTGAGGTCCTCCCCTGGCCTCCCCCAGGCCTCCCTGGGGACAAGGTCCCCCCCGTCCCTCCGTCTCCCTCTGCTCCACTCTGTCCAGAATCCCTGCTGCTTGGGTTGCCACCTGGCAGTGGGGCCTGTCCCATCAGCCCCCCTGGGCCTCCAGGCTCGCCTTGCACTGCATCTGCCTTGCTGTGGGTTTGGGAATGGGAGGGCGAGGCTGTTTTAGGATTCCAAGGCTCTGGCTGACAAAAGAGTGAGGCTGGCTTCCGCACAACAAGCCCTGAGGCAGATGCCTGCCAACAGGGGACTTGCCGTTTAATTACAGGTTCGGAAGAGATTTCCACATGTTTGAAAGAATATCCATTCTCTCTCTGTTTAGGTGTGATGGTGATGGTGGGGTTACCTGAATTCCTAAATTTGGAGATAAATTACACATTCACCCCTAGACCGATCAGATTTGGAGAAGCTGTAGACCATCAACACACGCATTTTCCAAATTTTGTTTTCCTGGCATCGCCCTACACCCGAAGGGATCTGAGTTGGCCACTACTCCAGGATATGAACTGGGGGTGGGTAGAAAATAGAGCATAACGATTACAGGAGAATCGAAGTGTTTGTTGAACACAAAACTAACAGAAGAAAGACAAAAATCATCTCTGATTTTATTGATCCACTTGAGGACGCCGATGGTATAACCCTCTCTCTCTTCAGGGGCTTAACTCTTCTATTTCCTCTGTGCCAGGCACTGCCCCAGGTTCTTATTTTCTTCCTTCCATGTCCCCTCTGCCGGGAGGTCTCCTGGAGCCAAAGGACACTCATCTCTCAGGGCCCCGACACCCCTGCCACACAGGAGCTACAAGGCCAGGTGGCCAGGGAGACCCGCTGGGAGCTCGTGGGTCTGTAAAGTGGGGATGGTAATGGCACAGACCCCTTAGTGGGGCTGGAGGGACTCGATGACGTGCAGCACGGAGGCTGAGTTTGCCCCGTGAAAGAACACACGTGCAATGTAAGAGCACAGAGGTGGTAATCAGTTTTAGCTGAAATCACAGATGCTTCTTAGGGAAGGTGGCATCTGAAGCAGATGTTCAAGGTAAGCGGTTATTCATTGAGGCATTTTTTTTTTTTTATAACAGCAAAACAGTGGAAACAATCTAAATGACCATATACAGGGAGACTGGCTGGATAAATTATGGTAGAGGGGATAGGGTATAGGGGATTATGGATAGGGTTTGGGGAGTGCCCAGCAGCTGCAAAGTAGGATGAGGAAGATTCATATGAAGTTATCTGGAGTGATCTCCAGGGTATGCTAAGTTTAAGTGGCAAGGTACAAAGAGTGTAGATGCGTCTTCTGTGGAACTGAAAGACGTGGTCTAGGCCTGCCACGTGCCCAAAGGACTCAGGTGCCAACTGGGGAGGCTCCCACGGGCCACATGGGAGACAGTCTGGACATCAAAGTGAATAATGATAGGAGAGATTACCATAAACTGAATAAATAAAGGATTCAATGACCTCACATGGGTACTAAAAAGGCTATTTTAGAAAAGAATGTCAACTAATAAACATAGAAGACATGATAGAAATAGGAAATCACTCCTTTATAACCACCAAGAAATCTGACTGACGCTGCTTCAAGCAAATCATCGAATTTGTCATTGTGGTATAACTGGATGAGACGGCTGTGCCACCTGGGGGGACGCAATGAGGGGAAATGCTCCTGCCCACCTGAGTCCCGCCTGGAGGAAAACCACGCCCAGGCCAGACGAGGGACGTCCTGCAAAACACCCGGCCTCAACTCTGCACAGCGTTGGGGAAAAGGGGGCTGAGAAATGGTCCTGAATTGAGGAAGAGCATGGAACCCACAGCCCTCAGCTGGACTCTGGATCGAAAAGCAGCTAAAAAGGACGTATTGGGACAGTGGGGGAGTTGAAATTAAACTGAAAACTAGAATTGCACTGAATCGATGTTAAACTCGGGATGAGAGTGAAGCCATCTTTTGTTACTTAGGGGAATGTCCCGCGTGTAGGAAAGTGCGCTGGCGAATGTAGGGTGAAGTGTTATATAACACCTGTAATTGTCACTGGGCTCAGAAAACAAACACACACACACACACACACAGACACAGACACAGACACAGACACAGACAGAGTGAGAGCAACGTGGCGATTACTGAAAACTGGTAAAGTTAAGTGCAGGGCATATGGGTGTTCATTACACTATTCTTGCAACGTTTCTGGGTGTTGTTTGAAAAATTTCTCGATAAAAGATAAAGTACAGGATAAGCAGGGATAAATTGGCATTGAGGACACCCAGGAACAGGGCAGAGCGTAAAGGAAGGGACACATCTCTGAGCCTGGAGATCCCCTCACATCTCGTCTGAGTGTGATGCCAAAGGTCTGGGGGCAGGGGGCAGAGACAGCCCCTCGCCCGCACTGGGCGGCTTCCCACCTTTGCCACAAGGTCCGTCGCACTTTTTACACTTGCGGACGCCGTCCTCCTCCACCTCCTGGCTGTCAGAGCTGCAGGCGCGGACGCACGAGCCGTGGTCCGTCACCACGTAGTTACCTGGGGGACAGTGAAAGGAAGGTGGCAAAGGTGGCACCAGGAGTTCCTGGGCCTCAGGACCCTCCATGACAGGCTGATCCTCTGGTTTTGTCTACTTTAAGGACAAAGAATGAAAGGCTGCAAACAGAGAGGGATGCGGGGTTCACGGGTTCTCAGGGCCTCCCCGCCAGGTGCGGTGTCGGGCTGCTCGGGGCGCTGCCTGCTCGCTGGTCAGTCACAGTATTCCCCCCCTCCCTGCATCCTGTGTTCCGTAGGGTCTACCTTCAGGACTTGTGGTTGAAGCTTGACTATTTATTAAAAAATGGGAAGCTACACGAAGACCATGCTTCCGCCGGGGCTGCCACACCCGGGACTGCCCTCGTCCCCTCGGGCCACCGCGGGTGGCGGTGCCCACGCTCGGCACCAGCCCCGACGCCGGTCACTGTCTCGTTGCTGCCGGTGCAGCAACGTGTTTGTGTTAATAACCTATTAACACAAATATTAGTCTATACTTTTCAGGAACTCTATGTGTTCCTTGCGACTTTCCCAAGTGGATCCTCAAACCTGTTTGCTGGGCATTTGTCATTTTCCTTCTGAAAACTGTCAACTTTTGTTCTCTGAGGCTCTGAGTGGTTTCCTGTGGACTTTAAACTCTGCCCGTTAAGCTGTCTCTCAAAGAGTATATGTCTGTGTCATGACTGTGGCGAATTTTTCTTAGCTTGTCATTTACCTTACAGTGGTTTATTATTCTAGTTGTGTGTTCTTTTTTCTGTTCCAAATTTATAAAATTTCACGTTCACAGATCTGGTAGGGCAAACCTCCCCCTCATAATTGTTCTTAAACATTTTTTTCTTTTTGCTTAATCTTCCCTCTTGGAAATCAAGATTGGTTTCTAAAACAATTTAATGAGACAATTCTACACTCCCTCTACCACGAAATATTCATGTTGCCACTTCCCTAAATACCAGAGCCATCTGTAAAGCACAAATAGACATAAGCAAAACCCAAGCCCAAATGATTAAACAAAGCCAACTGACAAGCAAAAACCCCTCTGCAGTATTCCTAAGGGCACAACCTTCACCAGATTTTTAACCACTAAAGAAGGCAGGTCTTCTAACTACTCTCTAACTGAGGCCTTTTAAATACCTGCAAAGAGCTAAACGGGAAAATGGCCCAGTGGTCATGGGTTTGTGCCAATCAGACGATGGCATATTCTGGGCGACCAAAGCTGGGGCTCAGGACGTAAGAACTGACTCGAGGTCGGAGCAGCAGCCGTCCCCTCACCTGCCTGACGCTGAGGCGGACACAGGGACCCAAGGACACGTGAGCGGGGGATGCGGGGATGCCAGCAGGAGACAGAACAGGTAACGGGGTGCCTGACAACGAATGGGTCCCCGCGAGGGGCACTCACGGGGGCACTTCCTGACACAGGTGGCGCCGAAGCTATACTTCCCCAGTGGGTTGACTTTCATCTCGTAGGTGGTGGGGTCGTACAGCATGAGTGGCGGGCATGTGTCCTTGCACGTGGCACCGTCCCGGAACCTGCGGCAGACCTGTCAGGGGAGGGGTGGTGGCTATTAGACTCCGCGCGGGGAGCTGCGGCCGCGGTTCTCTGCGTTCAGGTGTTTGGTCAGAGCACACACGTCTAGCAAAGTACTCTCGGTAGAGTCAGAAAGACCCTTCTCTTAAAAGCATGGTTTTTCTTAAATCCACTGTCCCAGCTGTCAGAGTTTACGGATTAGATGAGGGAAAAATACGTCTCCGTTAACTTTCAAAACAAGGCAGGAGTACACACACGAGAGTAGTTAACTCTACGGTGAAATTATTCCAGCTTAACTTACGTCAGGTTTCCCTCCTAAACAACACTTGAGGATACATTTTAGAATTTATTGCCAAACGCAGAGAACCTGGACTAGGGGGTGCCGTGCAGAGGGGGCCAGACCACGCACAGAGGGGTTCTGACCAACAGCCTCGGGCCGTCTCCTTCTAGCCACACATCAGGACCGGCCCAGACCAGCCAAGTCCAAAGCCTGGGGGCCTGTCCAGCCTCTGGAACTTTAGCCTCCCTGTTCCTGCAAACCAGACTCTTTTGGATCCCATCCAAGGTGAGTCTCCCAGTCTGGAGCTCGCTCAGCTCTGACTCTGGGACCCCGTCTGTCCGCCCTGGTGTCTCGGGACTCACAAGGAGCCCATGATCAGATGTGTGGCACCTGCGGCCCACGGGGACACTGGGTCTCGCTTGAGCTTTCTGCAGTAACAAGGACAACAGCGAGGGCATCGGGACCCCACGGGGGGCGAGGAGGTGGGGGGTGGGCGTGGAGGGATATGTGCAGGAGGCCTCTGAGCCGAGGTGGAAAGAGCAGAGGCTTTAGGGGCGAAAGGCACGAAGGGAGTCGCAGCTGTCCTGCCACTCGGGATCTGTGTGGCCCCTTAACTTCTCCGTACACATTTTAGGGCTCCCTGCAGCATCAACGCCCTAGGTTTGTAATGAGAATCGAGTGGAGCAATAAACAGTGAGACGAGGCTGGTGCTGGCCACAAGAGACATTAGGGGCCCATAACACACAGTTCGTATTTTGGCTCATTCTATGCCCAGGTCCTGGGTATGGATGCCACACACACTGTGCCGTTTAGACCACTTAACAGGTAGGTACTTTACTCTCCACCACTGTCAGACAAGGAAACCGAGGCATGGAGAGGTCACATAAGTTGCCCAAGGTCACCAAGTAAGTGGTAAAGGAAGGCAGGACACTGAAAGATGCTTTGTCACCCCTGCGGCTACAGACGTCAGTCAGTACATTTCAATCACAGGAAGGCTCTCTGAATCTCGGGCCAGAGAAGCCGTTGGGGTGGGTATTACCAGGCAGTCACTCTCCCGTGGCCCTGTGCAGCCGGCGGCACACTGGCTGTGGCAGCAGTCGCTGGGGGACCTGCCGCGGCAGCGCCCGGAACACTGCTGGGCACAGATGACTTTGGTCACTGGAAAGAAGCAGAGGCCACCCGTGAGCTGAAGGGCCCAGGAGGGAGGGAGGATGCCTTCCCAGGGACCTCGCAGAGCACTTGCAAACAGCGGAGGAAAGATGGATCAATTTGGTGATTCTGCGGCTTAAGTTCCCAAACATTCACATTCGGCTAAATTCAACTGAGTCTCGATCTTTCTTACTGTACTTTTTTTTTTTCTTTTTTTTTTTTCCTATTTGTTTCTCATCACTTAGGAGAACTGACTCAGATCAACTCTGGACTTTCAGACTGCTAAATTAGATACCGATGAGAATTGAGTTTGGGGGTGGGTAACGGAAAGCATGTACAAATAGCATGACGCCTGCCAGAAAGTAGTGTTTAAAAGGACACAACAGTCACATCACAATTAGACTTAAAGTTTTCAAGATGACATGTCCCCAGATTCCTTGGCCGTTCACGCTCCCGAACTAGGATTCCCGCAGAAAAACCCCCTTGGAGAAGCTACTCTTGTTTCTCTGGAGGTGGGTACTCAAGAGAGGGGCGGGGGCAGGAGAGGCGAGGACGTGAGAGGTGCCATGACTCAGGTAACACAGACAAGCCCCCAATCCCAGGAAAACCTGCCAAACATATTGTTCAGAGAGAATGGCTGGTACACGGGTGGCCCGCTCGCACTGACTTACGACAGGATGGAGTGCCAACAACAGCCCGTGCTGGACTAACTGCACACGGGGAGATTTGCAAGACTGTCATTCACATAACTGCTAACATCTGGCCTTAAAATCAACAATGCTTTCAGGAGTCTTCAAAGGGAAAACAAATGCAAGTGTAACGGGAGAAGATGGCCAGTGAAACTCTGCTCCCCGACTCACGTTTCTGGCAGTTCTCCTTCCCCGCACCCCAGCAGCTTCCATTAAGACAGACTGGATCACACTTTGGGCCTAAAATATAAAAGTAATCGTTAAATTCATATTTCAGGGAAAGGGAACAAGAAACTGATGGCCCCCTCTCAAGCCCCTAGGCAAAGCCACATCCTAGAAACAAGGAAGTGCTTTCAAATTTCTTATTCTGTTTGTTCAACTGGTTGGTTTGTAAGATGATTTAAAAAAGACTCTCATGAGAAAAAAAAAAAGAACCAGGTACTGCTTTTATTTACATTTCAGTTGTGGAAACTGAGGAGGAGTGCGATTATTGACTTGTCACAGGCCATGAAAACTGGGATTTAAATGGACTCATGGGTCCACATTTCAAATCTGCTTAGGCTTGGAGAATTTCCCAGCATCTCCCACAATGATGCTAAGGATGCCTCATCTGGGGGGATGGGTATGTACCAACCACATTCGTGCCATGTCCAAGCCTCAGTGATCCCAGGAGTTGGGGTCCTGTAAATAAATACTCCTAGACTCCACGCCAAAGAGAGAGAGGCCTGGATGCCACACAAAGGGTAGGACGTGCATGGTCTGTGTCACCTGGTTGATTATCTAAAACTTCAGCTATTAATTTGCAAGTTACTGTCTGAAAATATCTGTAATTGATCAATCCATTCGTGCAGTTTTTGTAAATGATTGACTATAAATGACAGCTACTAAGGGTTTTAATCTCATTAGTTGTGTTTTGTTTTCATCGGCATTAAGAAATCTGAGGACCAAGTGTTCTATATACAGACATAGAGAAGAGCTGACCACCAAATTTGTTAGAAAGAGATCAGCCATGCAGATCACTTCCATCACAAAGACACAGTAACCAAGGGACTTAACATGTGTCCCAATGTCTCCCACAGTCAGGACGAATTCAGTCTCTGGGAGAATTTCGGTTTCAAACAGAAGAGCTGAAGATTTGCCAAGTGATTGTTGGACCAGGGCACCCCTTCAATAAGACCGACAAGGTTTACAATCGCTCCCATGGGTGAAAGGCATTAGTGCAATGCTGGCACTTCTTAGAATCCTGAAGGATGGGAGGACGAGCCCCAAATGGATGGTGTGGGTTGTACATTGTGAAGAGAGACAGATGGAGATGGAGACAGAAAGAGAGAAAGAAACTTAAGAGGAAAGAGCCAGAGTAACACATAGATACGTTCAAAGTGGTTGTGTCTGTACAATGATATCACGTTATCTTTCGTTTTTACCTGAAACGTCCCCATATTTTCCAAATTTCTATTATAAGCATATAATATGTTTATAAAAGAAAATATTTAAAATAAAAACATTTAATGGCATCTTTCTGTAACACAGGAAAACATCTGCCAATCAAGGAATTCAAAGTCTGCTTATGATTCTATTCTTAACCTTCTGTGACAAAAAAAGAATTAGACATTACTTAAAATACAGATAATAGAAAAAAGCAAGAAGAAGAAATGAGAATATCCAGAGGTAATCAATATAGGCATATAAGTATATCTACATATAAGAATTAATATCACACTACACACTGTATTATAACTTAAAAAATAACTGATAAAACGTTATGACAATTTTTCCATGCCTTTAAAATATCCTTCTGGGACTCTCCTGGTGGCACAGTGGTTAAGAATACGCCTGCCAATGCAGGGTACGTGGGTTCGATCCCTGGTCTGGGAAGATCCCACATGCCACAGAGCAACTAAGCCCGTGCGCCACAACTACTGAGCCTGTGCACTACAGACTGACAGCCACAACTACGGAAGCCCATGCACCACAACTACCGAAGCCCGCGCGCCTAGAGCCCGTGCTCCGCAACAAGAGAAGCCACCGTGATGAGAAGCCCGCGCACCACAACGAAGAGTAGCCCCTGCTTGCTGCAACTAGAGAAGGCCCGTGCGCAGCAACGAAGACCCAAAGCAGCCAAAAATAGATACATAAATTAAAAAAAAAAAAGAAAAACCTGAAAAAAAAAGTAAATATCTTTCTACCTAACACGAATTTTTAATGGCATGGCTGAACCACAATTTATTTAACGAATCTCTTCTTTTTAGGTACATAAGTTGCTCTCAAAATTTATTATAAACAAGGCTATAAGGAACATTCTTGAACAAAAATATTTTTCTACATCACTTAATTTCCAATGTGACTAACCTAATATCCCTAGATCCTTTAAAAAAAAAAACCCTTAATAGTTCTGTCACTTCGATATGTTTCCCTTAGTAGTGAAATCATTCCAGAACAATTTATTGAATGATGAATTCTTTTCTTATTTGCTTGCAATGTCATTTCCTTATGGACATTTGATTCAGTTAGGCTTATTCTTATTATCTTATTCTTATTTGTATATGTCTACTCTTAAACCAATACCATATTGGTTTAGAGTTCATGGCTTTGTAATATTTGAATCTTATTGCATAAACCTGTCCACCATTCTTCTTTCCCAACACTTTCTTGCCAGGTCTTTCCCACAGCTGTGGTGTGAGAGGGCAGATGTGCCGCTCTGGGTTGCCTGATCTGGTCCATGGCAAACCCGTATTAGGCTCACAGCCTTTCCATGTCAGTTTTTCTTTTTATAAATATACACAATTTAACCTCCCCCACTGTCCATCAGAGAGCTGAGGAAAGGCTAACCTCGATCTCTGGATAATATAAAATTTTGCATTGTAAAAGAAAGCTTTCGGTTTCTTGCAAACATAGTAGGTATCATGCTGAGTGTCTGTTGGAATAATACACTTACAAAACCAAAGGGCTCAATACCCATGTTCACAGCAGCATTTTATTCACAACTGTCAAAAGGTGGAAGCAACTCAAGCAACTCAAGTGTTCATCGACAGATGAATCAACAAATGGAATAGTATCCAGACACATTAGGGAAGGAAGTTCTGACACATGCTATAACTTGGATGGCTGTTCAAGAAGAGCCACTGTGTTCAGTGAAAGAAGCCAGTCACAAAAGGACAAATACTATGTGATTCCACTCATACAGGGCACCTAAAGTCGTCCAATTCATAGAGACAGAAAGTAGGATGGTGGATGAAGGGGCTGGGAGTGGGGAGTTAGTGTTCAATGGGGACAGAGTTTCAGTTTGGCAAGATGCAAAGAGATAAATGGTGGTGATGGCTGCACAATGATGTGAATGTACTTAATGCTACTGAACTGCACACTTAAAAATGGTTAAGGGGCTTCCCTGGTGGCGCAGTGGTTGAGAGTCCGCCTGCCGATGCAGGGGATGTGGGTTCGTGCCCCGGTCCGGGAAGATCCCACATGCCGCAGAGTGGCTGGGCCCGTGAGCCATGGCCGCTGAGCCTGGGCGTCCGGAGCCTGTGCTCCGCAACGGGAGAGGCCACAACAGTGAGAGGCCCGCGTACCAAAAAAAGAAAAAAAAAGGTTAAGATGGGGACTCCCCTGGTGGCACAGAGGTAAAGAACCTGCCTTCCAATGCAGAGGATGTGGGTTCTACTCCTGGTCAGAGAGCTAGATCCCACATGCATGCCGCAACTAAGAGTTCGCATGCCACAACTAAGGAGCCTGTGAGCCGCAACTAAGGAGCACACGTGTCACAACTGAAGAAGCCAGTGAGCCGCAACTAAGGAGCCCACCTGCCATGACTAAGACCAGCACAACCAAGATAAATAAATAAAATAAAGAAAATTAAAGAAAAACAGTTCACCACAAAAATACACAAAAGGAAAAAAGGTCCTTATTTAAAAAAAAATGATGATTAAGATGGTAAATTTTATGTTAAGGGTATTTTATCATAAGCAATCAATCAAATTAAAGAAAAAAACCAAAAAACAAAGCAGCTCCAGTTGATTTTTTTTTTTTTTTTTTTTTGCGGTACGCGGACCTCTCACTGTTGTGGTCTCTCCTGTTGCGGAGCACAGGCTCTGGATGCGCGGGCTCAGCGGCCATGGCTCACGGGCCTAGCCGCTCCACGGCATGTGGGATCTTCCCAGACTGGGGCACGAACCTGCGTCCCCTGCATCGGCAGGCGGACTCTCAACCACTGTGCCACCAGGGGAGCCCTCCAGTTGATTTTTAAGATCCATATCATCTCCAAATTCTGAGACCAAAAAAACCCAAAAAACCTCCCCAAAAGCAAAAACAAACACCCATGCATCCACTGCATAGTTGTAGAGAAACAGAGAAACAGGAAACGATGATGGCTTCTTATTTTCAAGACTGAAAGGTCAGCGAGATCAGGAAGGCAGCTGGCTAAGCGGAGCTTAGGGTCCTCAGAGTTTCCCACTGCCAACAGCGCTAATGGGGCAGCCCTGACCTGCAGCCTGGCCCTGGCCAGCCTCTCCCTTGCATGGGCTGCTTTACTGATGAATGGCAGGGACTAGGTAACGGGCACTAGTTAAATATGGACAAACTCGTCGCCATATGCTCCCCAGTTTTGCTGGGGGCTCCATGTGGGAGTGCCCAGGCCCAGCAGCAGGAGGGCAGAGTTCAGCCCCAAAGCTTCCAGAGGGCCTGGCGCTACTTTGAGCCTCAGCAGCAAGTCAGTAACTCACAAAAGCCTAGGCAGTCTCCTCACACAAGATGTGAGAAGCCCCCTCGCCAGAGGTGACATGCCAGGCTCTTCTCAATGCCACATGAGGGCTTAGCTGTCATGGGGTGGGGGTGGGGGCGGGTGATCTGCCAGCAGGGGAGCTGTCACCATGAAAAACAGGTTTTTTCCCCCTCTGTCTTCTAGTGAGCATATAATCTGTTTACTATCAATATTTACTTTTGTATTAGATTAATGTAATGTAATGTTAACTCTGCTTTCCTGATCCCCACCCCAGCTCCACAGCTCTGCCCACCTTAAGAGCTGCAGGTTGGGGGCAGGGGTCATGTGCAACACTTACATCTGCTCAGCTGGCTCTGAAATTCAGTTGACATATTGCTTAGAAAGTCGGTGTTGACGATGTCCCTCCACTGGACGGTGTCCATGTTGCAGAGGACAGGGTTGTTGCTGAATCGCACGGCGCCTTGCAGGATCTCTGCGTGAGAAAGGAACCACCATGAACAAATGCGCCATCTCTCCTAAATTCTCCTGAAGTATGCATGCGTTTCTTCACGTTTTGCCTTCTGCTAAAAGATGGCAACCTGCAAACGAGACTCCCCTTGCAACTTCACCGGGGGCAGTGGAAAATAACCTGATGGACTCCTCTGTGGAAGAGTCAGGGTTCTCCTGCACTGGGTCTTTGAACCATGAATGATCAGAATTTTGAAATATGGGGAGGAAAGAAGATAATGCTTTAGTCACTTAGCATAAACGACAAGTGTACAGTGAGTCGGTGGTTCCCGGGGAGGTTGGTCTGGGCTGGACCAGAATGACTGTGTGATGACGATGTGAAAGGGCAGACGCAACAGCAAGGGCGGGTGGAAGGGAGGATGCTGTGAGGGGCTTTGGCAGCATTTCATTGGAGAAAAGGGGGTGGGAGTGAGGTGCAGCAGAAGGGTGTGTACGTGTGAGGAAGAAACGGGACGGGCGCCGGGAATGCCAAGATGTAAACCTGTTCATCTGTTCAAAGGAGAGCTGGGAGGACATGAAAAATCAGGGGTGATAAGAAAAGTCAAGCCTGAGCAGAGGACAAGTGTTTCATCCATGACATTTGTGTAAACATTTCCTGAATGACTTGTGTACACAGAGCACAGCAGCAAGAGCTGCGGGGTCAGCGGAGATGAGTGATTTCTGTTGGTCCCTTTCTAAGAAGCGACATGCGTGGGAGACACAGTTAATGACCTCACGTCCACAGCGGACCACGACTCACAACAGGGGCCAGTTGGGCTATACGCATGACCTGAGCTAATCCTCACACGGTTCTCTGACTGTAACTCTAATCTAGATACATAGGTAATGCCCAGCATCCCACAGCGGGAAAAGGACATGGCAGAGAAAGGGTTCTCCCTGGGAAGCTCTCTGAGGCTGATGGAAAGAATGACATTTCCTGAAGGCTGATGGCAGCACGTGGAGGAACCCGAGGGAGGGTGGGCGCTGAGGGCTCCAGTGGACGCACAACCGCAGCACAGGCCCCGAGGGCTCAGGGGGGCGGTTCCTTCAGCAGACGGGGGTGTGGGGTGGGGTGGGGTGTGGGTGTGGGTGTGGGGTGGGGTGTGGGTGTCGGTGTGGGGGTGTGGGTGTGGGGTGGGGGGGGGTGGGGGCTACAGAGGCAGGCTGGGGGGTCGGAAAGGGAGCTTTGGATGCGAAGTCAGAGACGGCAGCAGGACAACCAAGTGAAAACGTTCACCAGGAGGGAGCCAGAGTCAAGGGATAAACTGATGAGAGGTCAGCACTAGAGACGCAGAAGAGAGACGTCAGGGTAGCGGGACCCTCGGGACGACAGATCAGGGGCCGGGAGAGTGCCAGAGGGGAGGCCGAGGGCCCGACAGAAGCCGCGGGCAGCGTGGCGAGGAGCAGAGGCCCGCGTTAGTTATCAATAACAGGGTGTAATTCTCGTCCAGTAACCCACATTAGAGGATTATTTAATAACATGAAATAATCGGGATTGATACTACCCCAATACCCACAACGGAAATAATACCAAGAGAAGAAACGGCTGCCCAGCGCTTTATCTGGAGTAATTCACTTAGTCTTCTCAGCCACCCTCGGAAGTCTGTCACCATCGTTCATCCCCATTTTTTTTTTTTTTTTTTGCGGTACGCGGGCCTCTCACTCTTGTGGCCTCTCCCGTGGCGGGGGACAGGCTCCGGACGCGCAGGCGCAGCGGCCATGGCTCACGGGCCCAGCCGCTCCGCGGCATGTGGGATCTTCCCGGACCGGGGCACGAACCCGTGTCCCCTGCATCGGCAGGTGGACTCTCAACCACTGCGCCACCAGGGAAGCCCCATCCCCATTTTTGAAGACACAGAGAACACGCTCCCGGGTGCCTGGCTGGTGAGCAATGGAGCCAGGGCTGGAACCCGACAGTCCGCTCCCACCCGCCTCTGCCTGTCGCCACAAGACAGTGACAGCATGAGGCAAGATGGGCATCCAGGCGGGCCGAGCACAACCGAGCACGGACAGGACAACGCAGCGCCAGAGCTGCGCCCAGCAGGTGAGGGGGTGGGAAGCCCTAAGGCCGCCTCCTGAATGCAGAGCCCAGGAGGTAACCTGGAGAGCAGACGTCAGGCTCCGTGGGGCTTTGGACACTCAGCCATGCCAGCACCGCGGCCTGGGACCAGGCCCCTCCCTGCCCAGCACCCTCACTCTGTCGTGCATCCTCTGCTCTCATCCCCCATTTGGGGTCAGCCCCCCCGCTCGTCAGAGCTGCGTGGAAGATGCGAAGGCGAGGGCTCTGGGGACACAGACTGGGTGGCCATCCCCGGCCGTCCTCTCACTCATGTGGGACTTCAGGAGGGTTACTTTGCCACCATTTCTTTATCTGTAAAGTGGCAGAGCTACCACTTGCTTTCAAGGAAGGTTGTGGGCATTAAATGAAGTTGCCAATTTAACACAGCTGGCACTGCACCTGCCGCGTGGTGAGGGCACGATCACTGTTACCTTCAATTTTTAAAAATCAACTTGACGTCTTTTCTTCATCTTCTGTAGTTTCCTCTCACAGAACTCACACAAGTGCCCTACTCACAAGAATTCAAACTTCTCCTGTAATACCTTTATTCCCTATCCTTAACTTAAAAATGGCTTTCTGGATAACAGCATTAATCTGGAAAATGTCTCAAATAAGGGTTGATTTTTTTTAATGTATGTCCCTTATACCTGAGGTCCAGGTAGTAAGACTGGCAGACTACCTAAGCATTCCAGCTCCGGTCACCTGGTCATACTCTTTTTTCCAGAACCTCTACCACTTTTTACGAACTCTCTGGATACTTTTCCATGAACCAGGGAGAACTGGTACTTGGCTTAAGTCTTCCCTTCCCACCCCACCATCTACTATCTTCTTAGCGACTTCCACCTGCTGTATCTTGCACATGGCTGGCACACAAATACATCTGTGTCTAATGAATAAATGTCTTCTCTGAATGGAATTCAGAAAAGCACCAAGTCTCCTGAGTACCATCCGAGGTCACTCTCTGCATTTATAGGCTCCCCATTCCCTGGCCTCTCACCCTGTAAGTTTCTCATGGGCAACTCCCTCAGTCCCGTTTTATTTGCACCGTAGTTGGATAAGACCGCTAAGGCATGGGTGTTTTCATAGAGCACATTTCCTCTGATGATCTGCAGCTTTTCCAAAGGAATCTTCTCCACTGTGTTGAGGGCAATGAGTACATAGCCAGCAACCTCCTGGATGGTCTAAGGAGATAAAACATAAACATATTATTTCTCTTTTGAGGAACTCACAAATGCAAGATCTGAAACGGGTCCAGAGAGCCCAGGACACCTAGCTGAACAGGAGTGTTTGACAGATGCGAAGCATGCAGGTGATTACCACTGGATCCCATGGGAGGTGACAGAATTTACAATGATTCCTGCATTTTTGCCTCTTCAGCTTGATAACAATAACAAAGGACCATGTGTATTACTTAGGAATGCTGTGACTTTCATTTTGCTTGCTGTTCAACACACTGAGATGAAAATGGAAATGTTTTATTAATTTATTTTCTATCTGTCTTGCAGGTTTTCCTATTAAAAAAAACAAACAAACCCAGAAGAAAACCAATCCTAAGTTTACACCAAACTCAGAAGCCTTCAGGGCTGATTCCCGTTGGCTCGTTAGAGCCTACTGTGAAACATTTGGGAATTTTGTGAATGAGTTGTTAAACTCTTGGTAGCTGGAAATCAACCATGGTGGGGGTAGTTATACCCAGGAAATAGACAAATGCTACAAAGCAGGAGTTTTTTCCTTTTTTTTTTTTTTTTTTTTTTTAAAGAGCCAGTATGTCAGGATACCATGGTTGAAGTGACGGTTAAAAGATCAGTGTCCACGATGATCACGGAATGCCAGACTAGTCTGTTTCTCTTTGTTGCTCTTTTATAGCTATAACTTGACACTAGCTGGTAAAGTGGCCTTTTCATAAAACTTGCATGGGTAGGTCCCTAGGACTTATAATTGCCACAGCAAAAGTAAATACACTGCCAGTTAAAGTCTGCCAAGGCCTTTAATCTACTTATATTTACTTCTACTGTATTTGGGTAAGAATCACATTCATTGAACTAACCTTCAGGAAAGAAAGGTTGTAACTACTTTGCATGTAGGTTATTTCCAAATTCCCAAGGACCACCTCACAGTTATTGAACATCCTCTGGAGGCTCAGAAAGTGGTCTTCAAAAGTGCCCAACTGGGTGAGCTTGTTACTTGTCCCTTGGCAAACTGGAAACAAGAGGAGAAAAGGTATCACATGAAATGCCAAGAAGAGCAAAACTAAAGTAAAACGATATTCGCAATCTTCAACTAACCGCACACTTCGGTGACTTACGACATATTCGGATCGAAGGCCACTCAGGACAAATGTGGCGAAAAATGTTTAAAAGTTTATACTTTTATAGTGCAGTTCATAATAAGGACTAGTTCATCTCTATAATGCGTGGAATTGTTTAACACTGTTAAAAGTTCAAGGAGAAATAGATGGGAATTCTATGAAAATCTTTAAGATAAAACAGTCTGTAAGAGCTTTAGTAAACAAAAAATACATATCATGATATGCAACTCAGCATTACAATGATGAGTTAACAACTGTATAATGAACTTTTTACTTTGCAAAAAATTGCATGTCACATTATTGCGTGCTCAAAGAATATTTACAAGCATATTTTCTGACCATGACATTGTACAAGCTAAAATCAATGACAAGAGTGTAAATTGAAACCCACTGGCTGGAGATGAAAAATATTCTAAACGAATGCACCAAAGAACAAAATCAAATATTATATAACATTTAGAAAAGGACAACATGAAAACATATATTTAAAAAACACACTCAGCTACTAAGAAACCAACATGCCTTTGTGTTTGCCTACAATCCAAGGAGCCCACCCACCCAGGCGCAGGTGCAAGGGTTTTGCATCCCCTGCCGGGATGTGGCCTTGGCACGGTTAACTCCCTGATGTTTTCAGGTATCAAACTTAATACAGGAAGACATTTTAAATTAGGGGACGAAGTTAGACTATGAAAATACATTTGGTAGTCTATCTTTAAAAGCAAAGGAGGGGATTATAATAAAGCCATGTTTATAAACTTAGCTCTTTGAAGAACATGTACAGGCAAGCATAAGAAAACAAAGAGGTTCGGGGCTTTTGAAGCAGGGAGCTGTTAAGGGACTGTACTTTGAACCCAAATTATCATAAGTGAAGAAATATGGCCCCTGGCTTTGGAGGTTAGATTCAGACCAGGCCAGGCTCTTCCACGGATGCAACCTGCAACCAGGTGGTTGAGAACAACACCAAGGCCAGAGTCAATATGCAGGGACTCCCTTCAGGAACTGTTCTCGAGTCTTCATTCCTCTTTGATAGGTCCTTTGTCCCCTCCCCACAGAAGTGTTCCGAAGAGCATCACCGTCCACTCTTGCATTTTAGTGCCACGGCAGCGAGCACATGTTCAGATACCACACAATCAATGCAAAGCATTTACACCAACAGTAAATAGGAAGCAACCCTTACTTCCTCTTGTTAAAGAGGGGATTTCCCTCTTTTCCCCTTCTGTGGTCTCATTCAAATCCGGTGGTAGAGAGAACGTTCACACGGGAACTGCGACAGCCCACAAGACAGAGCCCCCTGGCACTGGCTCCAGGGCACAGTGATTCCCTCCCTTTCCCGACCATAACACGGGATGGACCCAACACCTCTGGCTGCTTTCACCCAGGAGTGTGGACCGCTCTGACAGGAACCTCAAGTTGGAACCGCTGTACACAGTTGGCTGCAATGCATGTGGACGGGGCCAGACTGATTTCCCAATTCTAAGGTCCTTAAAGATGCCACCACCAACGGAGGTACAGGGTTTTGACGATAAAGGGTGACCTTTCTGTCGGCATACCTTGGAACAAAAGCTGCCTTCCAGCTGACAGACCATGGTCTCTAAATTTCAGCCTAACTGGTCAGCTCTGGTCTAGGGAGCCCCAAGTATCCATCACACCCTTCCCACCAGCCACGTGACCAGTATTGACTAGAACTGGGTGTTGGAGCACATTTCTGAAGCGTTTCTTCTGTACACAGAAGGATGAAAACAATCCCATCTACTTTCATTTTAAAGGATCAGGGGGTACTAGCTTGTAAATTTCTCTTCACTGAACCAAAGAATTTTTATCATTAAATCACGCAAAAGTGACTTTCATCAGCAGAAAAGGAAAACATGCCATGTCAGTTTAGCCTGTTATAGGAGAAAATAATTGCAAGAAGACTGTACCTGTGTTGTCATTCACTCATTCAAAAAGTGCTGAATGAGTATTTATTTGATGAATACCTACCATGACCCTTCACTGTTTACAATTAGTATGAATTACTCTTACATTCATAAAAGATCCTGTACCTGGAAGATAATAGCAACATTACACATTATTGATATGAAGGTTAATTTGTAAAACATTTTGAGAAGCAACTGGACAACCTGTGTAAACAAATAAATATGCTTAAATTCCATGTCATGATGTTCCACTTTGGAAAACCTATTTTGAGGAAATAGACCTAAACTGTTAGGCAAGATGTTGATTTATTTTTTGATAATGGCAAAAAATTGTCCAACTGTCCACCATGTTTATCCTTGAGAAAAAGCAGTTGACACGCTATTTGATTCAGCTTAAGGCAAGTCCATCTTGAGTTCTGTTCTGGGGTTAATTACTAAAGTATCAAAAGAAAAATTTACAAGGCTGTTTTTTCTGAGGCTTCCCCTGTCATGTGCCCAAAAGGAGACAGCAAATCTAGGCTGAGGACTGGAATGGCCTGGCCTAGGTTTCTTGACTGAACAAAGTATAATCCTGGTTCCATCTTTATACCAAATATCTCATGTTATGTAATATAAAGCAGTGAGAAAATTTCAGTGTGAGGCTATTGAATCAGTAATATTAAAAAGTAAAAATCACTAACTAGTGAGGCAGATTTAAGACAAAACTGCAAGAGCGAGAGCCCTTAGCTCAGCCAGGAGAAAGTTTCTTGGTCAGCCCTTCATCCTTATGCAACACTGAACGACTTCCCAGAGCTCTACGCCACGCTTTCCTCAAGCACAGACTTGGTGAAAACAATCCTGGCCTCCCAGAATGGTTCTGAGGATGGAATGAACACAAAAGCTTCAACCTTGTTTCGTTACAGCTAACTACTGGGAACTGTGACAGTTGTTTGACATAAAGTGCCTCTGGACAGACATTGGGGGCCTCTGTGGACGTGCCCTTGTCCTAAGGTGCTGTCTGAACTGGGCATGTTTGGATCTGCCGATTGGCTTACTCAAATACTGGGCATTAAACAGAGTTACTTTATTCTTTGTCTGAAGAATATTTATCCAATCATAAGAAGAAAGAAAAAGAAATACACTGTACTTTAAGAATTTCATTAAAATATGCATTTAGGCATATTTAAGCAATTTATTCAAATAGAAATTTAATATGACCTTAGGGCTATGAAGTTGAAAACCAGACAACTAAAAGTGTTTGTGTCAAGCTCCGTACAGCATACTAGGGATTTGCTCTCCCTCCTGCAAATGTGAAGACAAATCCTACTGAACCAAGAACAGTAGGGTCCTGCAAAGCACTTAGCTTTTCACCTTCACAGTTTATTACGACGATTCATAAATGGACAGAAGAGCTAAAAGAATTGTACTGTGAACATCCTTAAAGTAGCAATTTACTACGTTTACTTTATCACGTATCTTATTTTTTGGATGCATTTTAAAGTAAGGTACAGATGTCGGTACCCTTCACCCTGACATGCCACTGGTTACAGTTCAACATGAGTGGACAGCTGTTGTCGAGGTAGTATCACAAACGGTGAGATAATCAGTCTTAAGTGTAGCATTGATGAGTTTCAACAAATGCATGCACCCGTGTAACCTGTTACCCCTGGAACATCACGGTTACGCTAGGAGCTCGCTCACGGCCCCGCCCCGACAATCCCTGCCCCAGACACCACACACCGCGATCTGTTTTCACTTAGAATAGTTCTGCCTGTTTGGGGACCTCGTTCTCATGGAATCACGCAGCACCGTCCTTTGGTGTCAGGTGTCCCCTGCACAGCAGGCGTTTCTGAGATGCATCCTGGTGACGTATGGCTTCACGTGGCTTCCAGGGAGTCTTACGGGAAGTTATCTGCGTATCACACTCGGACGCTGAGGGCTGATCCAGAGTCAGGCTGTTCTTTTTCTCAAGAACCCCCCATATTATCTTAACTGAAAATGAAACAATCTACCTCCTTTAAGTCTTGAGATACCCCTGATGTGAGGGGGAGAGCCTGTGGCTTTCCTGTGTCATTGTGGGAGTGGGCCCTTCTCTTTGACCTCAAGCCTGGGCAAATGTGTATGGCTGATTAAGACACAACATGAAAAGAGGCTTCTCCAGATTTCTCCAAATCCACTTAGACGCTTGTGGAATTGCCTAAATAAACTCATAATTATTTTAATTTGTTTTCTCTACACTTCAACGGCAACCAAAGTCACTGGGCTGTTGCCAATCTATCCCTTTCTCCGAAGTTGTCTGTTTTTACTGTTACCCCATTTTCCACAGAGCAGCTCATTTTGAAGCAGAAATCACATTGCACTGCTCTTGGTTTGAACGATCCAGGTTTCCCAGTATCATCAGAACACGGGACCGGCCCCTGGGACCGGCCCCTGCCCGCGGCCTCCCCACACCCTCTCAGGCTCCCTCCCCCGTCCACCGGCCCAGCCACGTATGTTCTCTGCGACACACAGCCCCGCCCCCGTTTCTCCCTGGCGCCGGGTTCCTGCTCCCTTCAGCACTGTTCCATCTGCTTGGAATGCTCTTCCCTTTCTCCCCAGCTCTTTGCATCTTTGTCTCCCTTTTTATCACTGAGATTCCAACTCAATGGACATGACATCCCTTCAGAAAAGCCTGTCTGGAACCAGAATAGCTTAAGTCCCCACCCTTGCATTCTATCACATTTTCCTGATTTCTTTTCTTCTTAGCATTTATCACTACTTAAAATTATTATTTGTTTATGCAAATACACACACAGAATGGGGAGAGGTGGAAGATGTACAGATATATCTCGTTGGAATGACTGCTGGGGTGTGAATACACATGTTGCATTTACATTTTAGACGTGGAAGCAATGGGTCAATGGTGGCCACGTGACCAAAGTCTTGGATGACTTGACACGGGTCCCTCTGCCTCTCCTGTTTCCATGTGTCTGGTGGCGGGGGAGGGGGATGC